ATTCTAAAGACTAGTCTAAAGACTACACGTTAACTGCAAGTGGTGTTTGCGTTGATTTGTTGTTTTGGTAGCTTCGTTTTTTCACTTTTCTTCCTTTTCAAAGGAAGAAAACTGTTGGACTGAGACCATTTGAAGAGAATCTTTGTAACTTGCTGTGCAAGAATATGATGAGCCAGACAACTGTTAAACTTACCGCTCCAGTTCCTCCTTCCAGTTGCTCAGAACCGAGAGAGGACAAAGTATCAGAAATTTCTCTTTGTTTGTTACTTCTTTTGTCAAGTAAAGTAGTAGAGAAATAGTCTAGAAGGCAAGGAAAATATTATGGTTTTTTTATAATAACAAAAGAGTTAAACCCAATAGCCTGAACCCCCATAAACTGTCTCCCTCCTGAGCTTTATAGCTGGTTCCCATAGGTTCTCTAGCACAAAGAAGAGCTAAGGGAATGTCAAGTGAGATCCACCATCAATGACAAAAAAGCTTAGATTCCAGAACATGACCTCGAAATCTGGAGAACCTTTCCAAAGACCTTTCTCCATAGTGACGAAAAAGAAGATCTACCATACATCACTTTCTAAAACTGAAAGTCATTTAAAAATTTGCGAAGAATAAAAAAGCAGCACTGAAAAATTGACACCTGTAAATTTTAATCCATGTGTTGACAAACCCAAAAATCATTTTGATGCAGGTGCATCCTCCTCTCCTGTGTATTGTCCCTTCAACTCTGTGCACTATGAATTAACCACACATTCAGATGTCTGTGTGAAATGACGACTCATCTTTTTACAAAACCCTGAAACCTTTCTGGAGTGTCACTCAGGACCTCAGGACCTAATAGGGATTTTAAGTGATTAAGGAATGAAAGAAACAACGAGCTCTCCCTTTTGAGTACAGACTTCAGGATGGGGCTGCTTAACTAACCAATTATCAGGGTGATTTTCTTTTCATTCTGCAGAAACATTGGCCTAAAGTAGGCAAAGGTCATTTTCCAGAAGAAGACCGCAACACACCTGACACGTCTTCCCAAGACCCATCTCATCGCCCAGGATACAGCCGTGCTGGACTTTGTAGCATTGCACCATCCATTTTACACCTTCTACTTGATAGGGACGAAGCTTAATGCCTGGGAATAAAAGCAATTTGTTATGTTTGCATAGTCCTCCAATACACTCCATACACAGTGCACCTTGAAGCCACCAGAAACAGGTCCTGGACAACCAGGCCTACCCAAACAACTGCCTTGCAAGAAAAGCACAGCAGTTTTCAGCAGAAGCTGTTTTACTTTGCTAGAAAGTAGAGATGCTAATGTTACAGCAAATCTATTAACTTAAACCATATTCAGGAACTTGTACACACAAAAACGCTCTAAGCCATTACAAAGGCCTAGACATTGATCTGATAATTAAGCCATTACTTTGCATTTGTAAAAGACAGCTTGATTTTAAGCTGTGCCTACTTTTTAAAATATCTAAGTACTACATCCAGGGAGATGCTTTATGCTACTGGGAATGTCTGCAAGACTCTACCATTGTATAATAATCATTTCTCACCAAGATGAGAATGGTTTAGGTTGGAAGAGACCTTAAAGATCATCAAGTTCCAAGCCCCCCTGCCATGGGCAGGGACACCTCCACTAGAGCAGGTTGCTCAAAGCCCCATCCAGCCTGGTCTTAAACACCTCCAGGGATGGGGCATCCACAGCTTCTCTGGGCAACTTGTCCCAGTGCCTCACCATCTTCAGAGTAAAGAATTTCTTCCTGATCTCTGATCTAAATCTGCCCTCTTCCAGTTTGAAGCCATTACCCTCTGTCCTATCACTACATACCCTTGTAAAAAAAGTCTCCAGCTTCCTTGTAGCCCCCCTTCAGATACTGGAAAGCTGCTATAACCCAGCACCAGATGCCAAAATGAACACAAAACAAGTCAAGGAGGAGCTCTTAAGATCTTTTCCCTGTACCTGGGCTGGAGTGCTGCGTACTGTTCATAAGCCACATATATTTTTACACCTTTATTTACCTCAAGCCCGGGGGCTTGAGGTTAACACAGAGGCGACCACAACCTCTCCGCCGCCCCCTCACAGAAACCCCCCCAGGCGCCTCACCGCTCCCTCACCGCCCCTTCCCCCGGGCACCCCCCGGGGCCTGGCCGGCTACCGGCGGTGTCCCGCTGACCTGTCAGACCCCACCGGTAAACGTCGGCCTCCTCCGGGCCCGGACTGCCCCCCCGGCCACCGGCGGCACGGCCAAGTGCCTGGTAGAAGCGGGACATGGCGTGCGGCGGGGGAGGCCCCAGGTTTACCAGGCACCGGGCGGCCACCGCGCGGCTCCCGCCGTTCCTCTCTCGGCTCCCGGCGGGGGCGCAGGCGCCCGCGGTGGCAAGGCGGGGCCAGGCCCGAGCACCGCCCCGACCTCGGGAGGGCTCACCGCCGCCCGCCGGGCTGAGGGGAAGAGAGGGAGATGGCGTCGCCGTTGCTGCTGTTCCTCCTCTCGCTGCTGCTGCCGGCCGCCGCTTTCTACCTGTGCTGCGTGCGGCGGCACACCGGCAGCGCCGGGGCCGTGCTGCGCCGCCGGGAGCCCGGCCGGGCCGAGAAGCGGGGCCGCAGCCCGCCGCGGGACGCCGTGAGTGCCGGGGAGGGAGGCGGGAGGGCGGCCGGGCGGCGGGGGGGAGCAGAGCAGAGCCCGGCGTTCACCTGTCGCCTCCTCTCCGCAGTGGGCACCGCGGCTGTGCGGCTCCGGACTGCGCCTCTTCGTCCATGTGGCCAACACGGTGAGTCCCGGCGAGGGGCCGCCCCCCCGGCCGGCACCGGGGCTGCCTGGTGTAAACAAGGCA